GGGGGGGGGAGGAGAGGATGGGGTTGGCATTCTCGGCCAGGGACGCCTCGGCCCCCCCCGAGCGCCCCCTAAATAGATCGGCACCCCGGCGTGATCTTTCAGCAATGCGCCGGGCGTCGCGCCACCATGGCGGCGCTGCCCACGCATTGCCCCGATGCGGCCCCAGCCCGAGGAGCTGCGGGGGAGAAGAAAAAGGCCCGGCGCACACCGACGGGGCCAGAGGCGCGAAAAGGATCCGCGCCAGGATCGCTCCCCCCCCCCCCCCCCCCCCCCCCCCGAGAGTGCTTTCCCCCGGCGATCTCCCCTCCATCCTCCCCCACCCGCTGCTTGTTCCTCCCTCCCCTCCCCCCTCCCTCCTGCCCGCCTCAACCGCCGCGCACAGGGACGACGATGTGCCGGCAGCATGGCCGATAGCGTCCTTCCTCTTCTCGTGGTGTCGACCCCGGCACCGGCTGGGTCGGCCCCCCGGCCAGCCGTGTGGCTGTTGCTTCCCGCCGCCACGGTGCCAGCCATGGCCGCATCGGCCACCGACACTGTTGTCGGGCCACACTGTGCACGCTTCGGCCGGAGCGCCCAGTGTGACATCCCCGTGGCCGGGGACGCGCACATCAGCCGCCAGCACCTGGCCTTCTGTGTGACGCGCACCGCGTGCCCCCCTTCCCCGGACCCTGTCGCGCACTTGGCCCCGCTCCCCGGGCTTGTGGTTTTCGACCTGGGCGGGTGCAATCCCCCACGACACGCCAATGGCCAGGGGCTGGTGGCGCGCGGGGACCGCCGGGGGGTTCGCTTCGGCTCCTTGACGGAGCCTCTGCTTGTCGGCCTGTCCAGCGTGGCCTTTGGCCGGGCGCTGGTTCTGGCCCGAGCACCGGTCGAAAGGCTGGGCCTCCTGGATCCCGTTGTCCCCGGCCAGCCGGACGGTCGATCGGACGTCGGGTTCACACATCTGGTTCTAGACGCCCCGGAGCTGTCGCTGGCCGCTGCCAGCCAGGCCCCCCTCCAATTGGCTGCCATTGCCATGGTGCATGCCTCCGTCCTTCTTTCTTCCTTTCCCTCCCTCCCTCTCTCCCTCTCTCTCTCTCTCTCTCTTTCTCTCCCGCTTCTCTCGCTGGCTTGCTGACTCGCTGCACGTTTTCCCGTCTGACAGACCCTGCTGTGCGCACGCGCCGGCGCGCCCGTTGTCGCTGAGGCCTGGCTCGAGGGAAATGGAACCGGATCCTCCACGCTGGCGCGGTCTCTGAGCCCGGCATCCGAGCACCCGGTCCAGGTGACCCTGCTTGGAGGTGAGGCTCTGCCGGTGGACCGATTGCCGATCGCCGCTGCCGGACCCGGGGCCCTCCCCTTGGCCGGCCTGGCCTTTCACCTGCCACGCCTCTCGCAGGCCTTTTCCTCCATGTCTCTGACATCGCTCCTAATGTCCGAACCGGTGGGTCCCTCCCTTTTGCTCTGGTCCATCCCCACTTTCCGGCCGCCTTCCCCCCCCCCCTCCAATCCCTTCGTTGTCCGTCCTCAGTCTGCTAACCGGCTCCTTGTCCCAGCTGCTTCTTCTTTTGGCCAGCACCCTCGAGCGACTTGGCGCCCGGCAGCTCGATGTCTCGGATGTCGGGGCCCTGGGGCTGGAACACTTCTTCGTCCCGGCGGCCGTGCTGATGGTCTCCGCTACGGTGGGCCACTACTCAATGGGCACCCCGCGGGTTATCATGCCGATTGTCGAGTGCTTGGACTTCCTCCTGCGCGATGTGCTGCCTGAGCCCCTTCAATCGCTGCAAGCCGATGCATCGGCGGGTGGCGGTTCCTCCCGGGTGGAATCCCAGCCGACGGCGGCTTCCCCGGCCGACTCCCAACGGCTGACCGAGCAGCTGGCCGAGCTCCCACCGGGGCTGCTTCCCAATCCGGCCCCCGGCCTGGCGGACGAGCCGATGGACCATCCGCCGCCCAAGCTCCCGCCCAGGCTGCTGGCGAGGCGCTCCCCGGAGCCGGAGCCGGAGCCGGAGCCGAAGCCCCAGCAGCCGGTGCATCTCCCCCCGAAGCCCATGGCCAAGCCGCTGACTGAGCCACGGGTTGGATCGCTGCCCAGGTCACTGCCTCAACCACCATCACACGAAAGCCCGGTCCAAGGATCGCCCCAAGCCCCCGATCGAATGCCGCACTCTTCCCATCCCGAGTCACCTGGTGGCCGGCCCGCTGACCCCGGAGATGAGGCGCCTGCTGGGCCGGCGTCATCGCCCTCGCCAGCGCCAGCGCCAGCGCCATCGCCATCGCCATCGGCTTTGATGTTCGCCGCTTCGCCTCCGATGTCGGGCCTCCCCCCCCATGCCATGCCGGACACCCTGGCGCCCTCTTCAATGGAGGCTGACCCGGCCTCCGGCTGGCGCCCCTCGTACGCATCCCCTGCCGGTCGGATACCCTGCCTACGAAACCGGAAGATTTTCAAGAAGCGCCGGCCGATCCCCCTGCCCCGGACAACTGGGCGGCCCTCCCCCCTCCCCTGACGCTCCCCGACTTCCAAGGGCATTCACTGGGACC